AATATTATAATATATACTAACTAAGTAGCGTATATAGAGAGTACTATTACGGAGATCGCAAAAGCTTTTTTTAGGATTATACTTTATATTAAGTATATTTTAAATATATAAAATAGTAAATATTTTAATAAATACTTAGTAATAGTATAGTAAGAGAATTATAATTAAAAAACAATACGGAATTAGAATATTATAAAAAAAAAAGGTATAGTTATATAGGAAAGAATTCGTAAAACGGTTACTAAATAAAAAGGGGGAAAAAAAAAGTAAATACGTAACTAGTAATAAGAAAAAATCTTTTACTTTACTTAATAGCTTAGTAATAATAATAATTACGAGGTTAGGTAGGCCCTTATATATTACGACGATTAGAATACTTTATTATAAATACGTATTACTAACTTAGTAACTAGTTAGCGCGCTATTACTAAATAATAATAATAAAGTATCCGTTAGATAATAAAATAGGAGTAATACTTTATTCCTAAGTAAGAAAAGATATTATTAATACCTTAAGGAATTTATTATAAATAACGACGTTAATAGTTTTATTATTAGTATTAAAAAAAGATATTATATAATAACTTTAGGAATTAAAGTTACGTAAGGGGGGAGTAATTATAATAAATTCGGGATACGATTAATAATAAAATACCGATAACTTAGTAACCGGTATATAGATCGTATTATAAAAGAACTTTTTAAGAAGTAAAGCTTATATAAAGGACTTTATAAGCTTTAGTTTTATAATATACTTATACTTATATTATAGCCTTGCTAGTTAAGTACTTATAGCTTAATTTTTTATAAAACTATCGAAACTACGATTTTAATAATCCTTTAATAAGGGAGAGGGTAGAATAAAGGAAAGGATAGGTAACTTATAAAAAGGGTTAAGGTTAAATAGTGCGGAATTCGAGGGTAGGGTAGCGTCTATATATACTACGGCAATCCTCTAGTAATGTAAAACGATGGAGTTAAACAGTGGGCAAAGCTCTGTCAGCTCCTTGGCTAGGTATGCGTGCCGCCCGCCCCAGTACCCCAATGCCTCATCCCTGGCGGAGAGCTTCGACATGTGATAATGGCTTGCAATTTGGCAGTGCAAGGGAGCTGGGCATGCTCCACGGCCCTTCACGTCATTCGCCCGAGGTACTTGTATTTCGGGTGAGCACCGAGAGATGTTCACATTTTCGAAAAAAGCAAAAAAATCATATCAGAGCAGGTTGCAGGCTGTAGAGTCCGCTAAATCATTGAGCCACAGTAAGTGACGGATGTGCCACTTGCGCAGCTCCCAACAAAGTCAAATTGGCTACCAACGGTCCGGTCTGAGAGCCATGACAAAAGATTTAGCTCAAACGCTGCACGTGTCGTGCCGCTTGTTCGCGCCAGTCTCAGTACGGCCAAAACTCGGAGGACAATTGTCACGAAGCGACTCTCATGTACTGATTAGGTTCATTCGGGATATCGAGACACATTGAAAACGATCATCTTCCGCATGGCAAGTATAAATTTGGATGTAGTAATAGTAGTCGCCGCTCTCGGCGCGCAGCTTGCATAGAGGAAAATGCCGTGGTATAGTACAAACTTTGATCCTCTCCACCGAGCCCGAATCTGCAGTCAAGCATATTTTCTCGTTCTCAACGCCTCACTCCGAATCGTCATCGTCGACAACGTGACGGCGCCTTCCTCTGCCACTTGGCTCCATGTTGTCATCATCATCTCCATCGGCGTCTTCGTCATCCGAAACCCGACGCTTCTTGGATCGTGGTGCCTCGTCAAGGAGCTCCTCATCGTCATCGTCATGTTCAACCTCGCTGACCTCGTCATCACTAGCCACGATGAAGTCGTCCTCCATGTCGTATTCGTCTCCTCTGCGGGCGCCAGAAGGCAGATCATCGTCAGAGTCATACTCGGGACGTCTTCTTTTTTGCTTCGGCGCGCCAGGCATGCCTCTCTTGCGCGAACCAACGCCACGTCGTCCACCCTCAAGATCGCCAATGGAGAGGCCTCCACTGCGACCGAATCCGCCGCGGGTAGCATCCATACGTGCGGTCTGAGTCTCGCGACGTCTTTGCATCTTCATGCGCTCTTTCTCTGCCTGCTCCGCTTGCCTCTTGCGCAGCTCGGGATCCTGGATGGTGTTGATGATCATGTCCTTCTCCTGAGGCTTTTGCGATATCGACGCCATGCGCTCGGCGAGTGCAGCGAGCGCATCGTCCGCCACTTCCTTTCCGGGCCGTACAATGTATTGATCGGTGACATGCCCAACAAACATGAGGAAGTTGCTGGTCAACTCCGCCGCAGCAGCATAGTAGTGTCCATCCTGAAGCTCAGAGTATGGCTCGTTAGGTCCGGGGGCTAGTGCCTTGGTAGAGACTTCAAAATGCTCGTCTCCGACCGTCATAGTCACAGAACCGTCGCTCCATCTGTGAATCATGGTGTTGCTCTGCAGCTTGTTTCCTTGTCGTCGAACGCGGATGTCGGCCTTCGGTACGTCGGCTTTCGCGTTTTCAATATCGTGCTCGGTAGGCTCGAAAGTCTCGGGATCGTAGATCGTGGGAATGATCTTCATGAACTTGGGGACGCGTAGAGACCGTAACTGGTGATTGTCAGGGCACGTCAGGTGCATCGAAATTCCCATGACTTACTCTCTGGTCTTTCGACTTGGGAGTGCGATGACGTTGCATTTCAACGGCCTCGATGACCTTCGTCTCATAATCGGTCGGCAAAGGGGCCTCGTCATCTCTACCGTAGCCATCACCCTCATCACGGTCGGATGCGTCTTCGCGTACGCTACCGGCGCGACTTCTGTCTTCCTGAAGATCGTCTGCTGGCTCGTCGCCGAAGAGGTCCTCCTCCTCCTCATCCTCGGGAAGCTCGTTCAATTCTTCGGAATCCGACATGATGGCGTTGATTCGTGCGATAGGCGATGTAGTGTGTTCGGTATTGGAGAATTGGCGGTCAATTGAGCGTGTGTGGTTGACACAGAGGTAGATGACCTAGCTTCTTTCCTCTTGCGCGCGGAAGATGCAGCGTGAGGCTTGAAATATCCCTGTCCAATTTCTGACCCACCTGGAGGTCAGTTCAAGCCCGAGTGAGGCTGAAGCACCGCCACACGTGCTTGAAGCCACTTTGTATGTGTAAAACTGCCGAGCGGGGACTTCGGCACATGCTCCAGCTACAGTGGATCTTGTTCAGGGGACTCATTGGAGGTAATTTGTAATATCTCCAACTCGTCTTGTTTCTCCTATTACTGAGGAAATTACAGAGTACAAGTTGTGCGACTGCTTGCTCAGCGCTCACCTCCCCAACCTCTTGTGCGCCACACGAGGCTGAGAAACGTCCCTCCCAACGCCTCTAGCGTGAGCCCAATGGCGATGGAGCAAGACCATTCGGACCCAATTGCTGTGGGGATCGGGCCTGTGCACTCGCTTAATGTGACACTTCAAGTCTAGCGCTTCTTATGCCGCTACTCCTCGTGGATGCAGGAGCGAACGTAGTCTGAAGAAGCTCACCTTCAATCGCCCCTTTTCAGCTTAACCCTCTCTCCTTGCTCGATATCCGATCATTTTCGATTATCAAACGGACTGAACTCGAATCAGCAGAGCTGAAACTCGATAGTCCCAGCCTCTTAAGTCTTCCCAGGAGGTGCGCCGGTCGACCCAACTTTATAACCCCCTCCGATTCCCCCTCACCGCGGTACCTCCTCCTACCATGTCGAACCTCTTTTCAGGAATGTGAGTTGCCTTTCATTGTCCATTCTGTTCCTTTTCCATTTTGCGAATTGCTTCTTCTGCTCTCCCTTACCCCCACTGTTCTCTGCATGATGGAAAGACCGAGAACCCAGCGGGCGATCTACGGTGGCTGCACAGCAGACAGCTGTGAAGTTTGGTTCCTCGGCTAGTGCCGCGGCAGCCCATACTTTGGTACATGCAACACGGCCCGGCCATCACCCGCCGAGACATGGGGTGCATTATCACACATGAAGGCATTGCCAAAACATCCGAGATCAAGAGGCGAACCAGCCCTGGGGATTCAAGCAGCACAGTTGGGGAACTTCTGATGGCTACTTGTTCTTTTGATGAGGAGGGGCTATCGGATAACCTACCTCGGCTGTGTGTGACATTGCTGCCATGGCCAAATGCCAGGCTTGGGATCATCCATCACAGCAGAAACATGTGAGGCATCAGCGGGGACTGAATGCTCAGGTTACCTTCGGCCTCAGTATCATCCTTTGCCAATTTTTCAGCTCGGCTGCAGAATGCACCTTCAACTTCGAAAGGAAGAGAGAGACAGGTGGCAGCAAGGACCCAACCACACTCGAAACCGCCAACATTGAGGCACGCAATGGAGACAAAGGAGGCTATAGCCATGAGATCTCGTCGACAACTGGAATGTCATGATTTTCTGTCGACATATCGTACCGAAGTCATTTGCCCAACAGTCAAGTGAGCTGAGCTGAGCTGGAAGCCGTTCAACGTACGCATGTTTTGTTTGAGGGGGTCCTAAAGGGATCTCGAAAAGGAAGAAAATCGATTGCTTCTTGGACCAGGACGGAAGCCTCGCGTTACTTCATCGCCTCTACGACAAAGAAGTCACTGCAAGATATATCTGAGTCCTTCACTGCTCCACTATCCCCGGATCGTCGTCTTTCTTAGACTGGGTCTCACGCACATGATCTATCTGACATGGCCATTTCCATCGGCAACGGGCCCTCAAGGGCAGGATATCATTGTTGTCACTCAAGCGGGGCAATATGAGCCTACTTGCCAGGAGCCACGACACTTCAAAAATCAAAAACAAGCCTGAACTCTTTTCCTTCCAAGAAATCTCATCAAACACAAACACTCGTCAAACAACCACACTCCCAAAACATCTTCTCAGAACACCAGCTCTGCCTTGTGGCCTAGTTGGCACAGGTCTCAGACAGACATCCCTTCCATTACCAAAAGAAGCCCTCAGAAGTCCCTGATGCTGTGTCTCACTCAGCAAGAAACAACATGGCTGGTGCAAACCCTTATGGCCTGGTTCCCTCGGGTACCTGGTCTGGTGGTTGGGTTCATTATCCTGCTGGACATTTTTCTATGCTTTGCAGTGCTTCTATCAGTCGTGAGATACCATCGACTAATCAGACTCCGATGAATAGCAACGCCCGCTTCCGGGGCCAAGCCGCCAAACCGCCGGGCTCGAACAAGTCTCCAACGTCCTCAACCGCTGGTCAGCCTACGTCACCGACCGTTTCTCAGGGAAGCCAGTCATCCACCAACTTGGCTCCGAAAGTCCCGCCTCTGCCCAACTCTCCTTCGCTCGCCCACTCCATTGGCATGGACGACCAGGGTGGCTTGTCCGACGGCGACGGCCTTCTCGGCTCCTACCATCTGCCACGGCCTATGCCCATCTGGCTGAACTCCAACTATGGCAAGCATATCGTCAAGGGCAACTTTATGACTCTGAGTGCGAGACCCAAGACGGTCGAACAGGGCGAGTGGATCGCGCATCAAGGTACGTAGCCACTTTTACTCCTACACCTCTGGTTACTGATTCTTCGCAGTGGTTGAGCACTACCGCAACCTCTGGAACTTCGTTCGTGTTCTCCACGAGAAGGAGGAAGATGGCTCGACGATCTGCAACGGCACTACGTGTCCCAGGATGTCCGCCGGAGCGTAAGGTTCGCCGACACTTCTTCCTGTCACAAGCTAATAATTCTCAGGAACCACTCATTCACTTGGCTTAACAGCCGTCGGGAACCTGTCGAGCTTCCTGCCGCCGAATACATGACTCTTATGCAGAGATGGATCTCAGGCAAGATTGACGACACCAACATCTTCCCGACCGACCCCTCGGGCGTCTCGTATGCGCACAACGCAAACATCACCACCACGCCCCTCTCACAGCTCACAAACCCTGGTGAGCCCGACTGGATCGGCAAGCGATCAGGTTTCCCGCAGAATTTCATTGACGTCTGCCAAACCATCTTCCGCCAGATGTTCCGCGTCTACTCTCACCTCTACTGGGCTCATTTCACCGAGCCTTTCTACCACCTCAACCTTGAGAAGTCCCTCAACAGTTGCTTCAGCCACTTCATCCTGACCGCCACTGCTCTCGACATGCTCAAGCCTCATGAGCTCGAGCCCATGCAGCCGCTAATCGACCTTTGGGCTGCCAACGGCACCTTTCCACCCGAGTCCAAGGCTTACGAGTATGCCAATCTCCGCGCTGGCGAGCGCCTGATGCAACTTGCCGGCGTTTGATAGACTTCTTTCGGAGACGAGCCAGGCACGGCAGCTAGAGGCACCGAACCTCCACAGATGATGGCCGGCTTCATTGTGTCTTTCGGCTATTCCTGAGTTCTGGAAAGCTTGAGTCTTTTGGAACTTTTTGGACTCATCTGGTTAGGGGGTAGCCGACGCTCTTACCACCGGAATCTTTGCTCGTCAAGGCTGGAAAAGAAGCAAATGGGGCCTCCAGAGCCAAACACGACAACAATAAGGAAACGCAGGTTTCACACGTACGCACGCATTGCATTTGCAGCAGTCCCGGGGAGGAAAGAGAAAGAAACGGGCTGTATGTTGGAGTTTTCGGATTTGCTATGAGGCCAAGCAAGGTCTTGAGACACCCCGTAAGAGAGGCGGCCAAATCGTCTCACAGGGGAACGGCGATGAGGAGGGAAGAGGAATTATTCGTAGACGACGATTCCATACACAATTCACACTTGACTTGACAGAAGGATGCTTGCCTGCTTTGCTCCATTGAGCCTGACTGACCGAGTGATGATTGGATGGCTAGCTACTTGATCTCAGATCGGACCTTCCGTGAATCAACTAGGCGTATTCGAAAGCATGACTGCAAATGGCTCATTAACATCACACTGTTGACTCCTTGAGCCTACATGGAGTAGTGAGTCTGTCTCCATGAGTGTGTGGACCTCTCACATATAAGTACGTAAACAGCCTTAATGAGAGTCGTCCTGAGTATCATTGAAATCTACTTCACGCCCGACGAAGAGGCTTCTGGCTCGTCCGTCGACATCCACATGGATTTAAAGGATTATACATGAAGAATGTATCAACCAGAGCATGCCTGCTCTTCGCGAAGCGTCTAGTCACTAGACCTAAAGAATTTCTCAATCTGTATAAAATCCCATCCAGAGCAGTCGGGATATTGGTATGTCTAGATCACCTTCAGGCCCGCTCCCCCATGTTAGGACTCCAAGAGGCGGCTTGCGTAGGTACTACCTCCGGGATCCTTCATGAGTTTCAATTTTTTTATTCCTCGTCCCTGTGATGTCCTCTCAAGTAGAAGGCCTAGGGCAAAATTTACTGAGATTCAAATTTGAGGTCAATCGAGCGGTAGACTACTAATTAGAGGCGTAAGCAGTCTGGCCCATTTGGGAGACTGAATGATCCATGTGTGCCTACTCACGACTCTATCATATGAGGCTCTTCGAAAATAGAAAGCCGAAGAAACTCGATGACGATATCGAAGAAGCTTAGCGTAGGATATCTGACATTTTCTTTCTATCGTGCTCGAAAGTCAAAGCTGAGAGAATCCACAAGCTTACATGTCCATCTACTTCAATCCGATGTCTCTTCAGAAAGACTGAAGCTTACAGATAAACCTACTTTCTACATGGTAGTCGAGTCCTTTTCGTGGAGCTTGACTCGTGAGACAATCAGACGTCTGTTTGTCAACTGCGGGGAAGAAAGACCAGTGTGAATGAACAGAATGTGACGGAACCTACATATCAGCATCAGACGATGATACCGTTTTCACGACGGTAACCCAAACGAGTCATCTTACTACTAAGCAAGCCTCTTCTCCTCCAACAACAGGATATCTCGGGACTGAGAAGCGTTTGGTGGGAATTACTCTTGCCCCCATCGGCCAAACCTCCTGCTAAGAATGTGTTGCCAAGCATTTTAGATGGCAAAGCCATCCTCAAAGTTCAAACCGATGGTACAAGTCCACGATGGACCTGAGGTGGCTTTCTCACCCAGTCTTCCATCTGTACACCTCATTTGAAGACTTTGGGCTTCGGCATGACTTCCTTTCTGAGCTTCGGAAAAAGTTACAGTAGAAGTGAAGAGGGAATTTGGAAGGTATTCAAGCTTTGTTCTGAGAGGGATAGATATCCTGGCTTCGACACGATGTGCACGCTATCACGATGTAGATTCCAGGAAGCATTTGATCTATGAGATTCATATCGTTCTTTTTTCAATTATGTAGTACTACGCACAAAATAGCCGATGCTGGTATCTATTTCTCCAAGGCTATCCCGCCATACCTCCGTGAACTCGAACCAAAGCCCCAACCCAGCACATAGTACAGGTTACTGAGAACATACCGGAAAGCTAACTACACTTTCTCTCTCGGTTCCGGATCCGCGTCCCGCCAGATTGACGGTCCGTATCAACGAGTTACTCAATGTCATATTTACAGAGTTTATGGGATTGAAAAGTCTGAAGTTCGGACGACATATATATAGAGAGAGCGCTCCGGACGTCTGATCTCTATCCGCACACAGACGACGAGCTTACGCAGACAGAATTCTATTAGATGACATCCGAGTATACAAAACTCTCGGGAACGAAGGAAACCTAGATAGCTTTGACATAGTCTGTTCTCACGTCGGCAAAGAGGATAGTACCGCAACATGCCAACAGCAGCCAAATCGAAAGCGATGACTCATATCCAGATCCCTTATATTCTATGAACAACCATGCAATTTTACAACTGAGGGGGAAACGGGGACTTCAATAGCTGACAGGTTTTACAACCAAGCTCAGTGTCTCTAGCTTAAGCAGAGACAAAGACCACATAGTCCTCCCACACAGATCATGGAATCAAGAAGTTATACACACCCATCTCAACCTCCAACAAGCTCCCCCATGATAGAATAGAAAATCCTGACACAACGACACAAAACCTCGCCATGTGCTTTAACCCCCTTCCCCCAGAAACCCCCAAACTAATTAAAAATACCCAACACGGCACTTCAATCAACCGGAGGTCCAGCCAAACCACAACGCACAGAGCTTCTCTTCCTCTCGCGCGCGCCGACCCGATACTGGCACCTGCTGTGCTTCGAACCTTCTCCCGCTCCTTCTAGTTCACGTCAAGGAGGTGTTTCCAACTTCCATGACCCCGACGGGAATTTCGTCATTGTTCAGGCAAAGTCCGGGATCTACTGGGCTTACTAGCGTCCCCCTTCCGTTGATATTATTAACCCTTGCCCGTCAATGGGCGCCATTTGGAATCATCCATTTCTTGGTATTCACATCCCGCGCGGTACTGATACTGCGAGTCGGCCAACAGCAGTCTACTAGACGCGAGAGTGATACTGAATACTTCCGTACACATTCTCAAACCTTCTCGATTCCCTTCTTCCAAGTTCGAAAGAAGAGTCATCGCAATACAGCTCAGCAATAGTATCCGCATCTACGTATTCACGGCTGTCACCGCCGCCGCCAAGCACCGAACTTCCGTATCCCTTTAATTTTAGAAGACTCCATCGACCGCCTCACCCGGTGGCCCGAGAGACAGGCAGAGAGACGCAAAGAGGGAACAAATCGTTGCCCGTGACTGTCCAAGAGTCTCAGTCGTATGACTGACCTAGTGGAGATTATCCCGTGTCTCTGCAGCTTAAGAGATATTACACAGTGAATCAAAGAGAACGACAGCCCGGAAACCTAGTTACCCGCGGCGTGCGGCGTGCGGCGCAAGCTTGCGTGTATGCAACAGGCATCCTGTAGCTCCGTTTCAGAATATCCGTCAAACGTACAGATGAGTGGCTCCCCCTCAAGAGCCAGCGAAACTCCCCCCAAAGTACTGTGAAATGAACCAATTCTGTTTTTAGTCTTTCAATGTCCCAAATGTCAATCACCTCCCACCCCCGGCGGCGGTACAAGCAAGGGGTCCGAATCCGGATATGCAGGAAGCGAAAAGGAGCGAGAAGGGGACGCTTCACCGCCAACCTGGGATGAAGGCGTCTGCCAGGCACGACTGGACGATAAAAGTGGGACGAAAGAAGCAACCATGCCCAACCCTTCGGGCAGGGAGCGATGAGTCAACATCTCGAACTTCCGCAGAACCAACAGGAGCTTCGGGGCTGGAGGGGACGAGGAAGATGATGGAAGTGGCTGGGTAAATTCAACCGAGCTGAGAGTTTGTTCCAACTTTACTCCCGGGTTGGCTCATTGTCGCTCATCTGGACTTGAACCCTAAGACGAGATCCCAGTTCCCTGTTTCGCGCACACAAGCAAGCAAGCAGACCAGTGCGCAAGGTTTGGGAAACCTGGGTTTTGCTTAGTGATGGACAATAGGCAAAAATTCGGTGACGGAGTCTTGCGACCGACTCTGCAACGGACAGACGGAGAGTCTTGACGATCGTATAAACTGAAGGAGGGTCCGAGGTGCCAGTGAACGATTCGGCCTGTCGCAGCACAGGATCTTGATCGCTTGGATCCGTTTGGGGGCCACCTCGATAACGCATGCGCTGCGGGTTTCTGCGATGCGCCATAAACTTTCCGCTTGCGTGTGGAGGTTAGTTGAGAAGTGACAGAGTGAGGTGGTTGAAGGAGTGCGATAGGCATTGCTGCTGCAGCCTGCGGGACCCTTTCTTCAAGAACATCGTGACAACTGATAAGATGACCTTCTGACTGCGTCTGGCGCCCAGAGCGCAGAGTTTTCATTTCCAAAGAGTCATTGCTCTGGAGACGAAGTTTTTGCTTCTGAAGATTTCCATATACAAAGCGGGATGATAGCCGTACGTGGGATGGTGGCCTGCACGGCCTCTGTTCACCGCCATGGAGGCGTCCCGAATTTGTGGACGGGGAGAGATTCCGGCAGCTCTCTCGAATCCACCAGTCTCAAGTCACTTGTTTGCAACACGGCGGGAACCCTGGGCGTGTGCATGAAAGGGAATCTGGAACCGAATGATCCAAGCTCCGGAGGTTGAAATGCCAGGATACAGCTCTATCAAAGCTTCTAGTATAGGGCAGTACCTTGCGCATCAACTCTGGTGGTTTTTCTTCTGGCGCAGAACGAAAGAAACAGCGAGGATGAAAGACAGCCGATGGCCCAGGATTCTGGAATGACGTCGGGAGGGTGAAACGAAAGCTGTGGACCGCGGCATCGCATCATGGCAAGCGACGGGGGTCGGATCCGTCGCTTAATGCTCAATCTCCGACTTTGAAGCTGGAAGGGCAAGGGAGAGACTCTGACGGTAGCTCCGGAGTGGATCCCGGGGATGAGAAGCTTAAGCTGCCGGTTGGGGCTCACCGACAAAGAACAAAACTGGTGGCAGAGATGGATGTGTCTATGACTCAAATTGAAGAGATTTCGCGAGAAGGACGACCAGTTATTCCATACTCTTCGATCATCGAAGAGGACGCGTAGGTTCTTGGTCATTAATTTGCTAGTCCGCGACACTGGCCACTATGTTGAACTGGGAACCCATTGCTCTCAATGCGAAGTGAGACCGGGGATCCTCACCGGGATGCTAATTCGGAGAGGCAGTCTTGGATCTAAGCCAGAAATCCAGGGAACAGGGGTGCTCTGAAGCGTAAATGCCCCGCTGGGGTCAGCCCTGTCAGGAAACCGTCCCAAGAGTGGCTGTATGAGATATTCCTTCTCGTCGGCAGCCGTAGACCTGGTACAAAATTGAATCAAGTTTCTCGGTTAAGAAAAAAAAGTTCCTGGTATCATTGTATATCGGCTGCGGTCAACCCTTTCCAGGATGTTTGCTGAAAGCCTGGTCAATGGTGGCTGGCTCACATGGCTTCACTTGTAAGCCACAATCGCCAGATGAAGCCTTATCCAAATGCTTGGGTAAAGGGCAAACGACTTGAAAATGACCACCCTTGCCGTAAGACGACTTCCTTGCCTGCCGAAGCACCCTTTGGCACACCAAGAGGAGGGATACGATGGAAGAGGCTCTTCTGAGTCTTAGGATAGAGGAGCAAGTGATCTCGATCCGATAGGCTGGGTCGGGCAAAAACATACGTTTGGGTACGATTCCGATGTCAGCCGCGCCGGCTTCCAAGAATAAGAACTTGGCAGGAGAGAAGGGCGAGGCGGTGGGCATTCTGGGAAATGAAGGGCTGTGGTCGTGGCCGGGGAACAAGATGACGACTAAGTGAGACTCTTGTTCATGCAAGGCGCATGAGAAGCACGATGAGGCAACGCGATCAATGTTGAAGAGACAGGGGAGCTTTCCGTGTGGACAATCCGAGTCGAAAGTGACAGGCACGATGCGGGCGTCGGGCGTATTGGGATGAGATGCCGTCGAAGAGAGGTGTGCCGCACACCGTACGCAGCACATCCAATGGCGGGTTTGGCGGTCTGAAGCTGTAAGTCGTATACCTGGAGTCGTTCAGACGATGAAGGGGTCGTCGGCCGAAGTTGGCCAGGTCTAGGCCATAGGTTGGGCTCCGTCGTCAGGAACGCGTGAGAGGTAACGAGGGGAGACGGCGTATGAGAAGTCGGCGCTCGGCTCCAGCTCCCATGGTCGCTGACCTCGGCGTGGACTTGGGTTGACTAGAGTCGAAGTACCTCAGGCACGGCGGAGGCATGGTCAGGTATCCGCGGCTGTCGTGTGGGTGATGTTCTCATCGAGTGGTTTCTCTCCCAGTAACCACTGACAGAGAGCCGAGCTGACCTGACAATAGGGGACCGATCTGGCCAAGGGCCGTTCAAGTTTTGGTTGGTGAGGTAGTCGTACGCAGTAGAGTGGACTTGGGATTCACAGCAATCGAGAGTGAACAGTGGATGTCGCAAGTTTCGTTCGCGTCTTGGTAGCGGAATCCGCTCGCCTCACTTGGACGATTGGTTCATGACGGGGACGGCGTCGGTCCATTAACGGGTCGTTTAAGTGTATGCTCCACTTTTCAAACGGCGCCATCGCGTTTCCCATTGTCGCCAGGTGCCCACCCGACCTCTTCCCACCTTCCATTCTTTCCAGGCGTGCACAGGCATGGCAGGTTCCTTCCTTCCGGCTTTCGCGGTGGCCGAGTTTTTCCAGAAGGTGAGGAGACGACGCCGACGACAACGACGGCGGGGGATCCACTTGCCGGGTTGGGATGGGAAACGCAGCTACGGAGGAATTTCTTAGCTCAGCCGACCTTGGTAAGTATCCAGGTATCCGTACATTAGGTAAGGCCGGTAAAGTAGGAAGAGGAAAGAGAGCAATCACACCTCCATTCGCTACACCATACGGATTCAATGCGAGGATGTGGGAGTGCAGCATCTCGCCTTTGCAGATTCACCAGATTGTGGTCCCCCGGGGTCCATCAGTGGAGTCACGCATGATTCACGTCGCCGATGCATCTCCGTGACGTCGCGACTCCTTGAGCACCTCGCTGGTCTTGATCCGGTCGTCTGGCGCGCTTCAGGACGCGAAACGCGTGTGATGAATCACTGGCGGGGGATTGAGGAGCAAACACATACTGCGTACACACAATGGCCTCGTCTACTCCAGACCACTTCCTCCTCTGGGACACCTCACCAAGTGACGAGAGATGAAGACGTACCTTATTGACGGATGTTCCTCCAATATTGTAGAGCGGGCCTCGAGGTACCTTCCTCACCTTGCCTACCTACCTCCTCGTTCCATTCATACCTGCTCTGGGCACGAGGCCCGAAACAAGCACCGTGGCACACCGACAAAGCAGAATGAGGGTCTTCAAGTTGGTGATGGGCCGCTGTGTATGCGGCCATGAAGCACAGTGGAGCTGGTGGCTCACGCGTCTCTTCAGGCTGAGTGGCTGGCCGGTGTTGGACGTTGTTGCTTGGGCATCACCGGCTGGCGTTGGAGAGGTTTCCCGGATGTTGTTTTCCCAGCCACCGACTTTTTGATCCCCTGCTCCTTTGTCCTGGTTGTATCAAACTTGCCCCTCTATCCGTATGGCCTTTCTGCGCCTGTGTGCCTCCCGATGTCAGAATTGACTTTCGTCCGTCGGTCGATGCGCCCGAAATATAGGCGATGGGTGGCTTTCCGTATTCCAGGGATGTGGCTGAGAATTTCGTCTGAGGGTACGAGCATCATCCCGACTTCACAACGGACGGGGTTGGCCAATTGCGCATTGTGTCTCGCGGGCCCGGGAGAACAAACGGGGCATTCTAGTTAAGACAAGGAAGTTGGTTAGGAACAAGAGAGAAAAATTCTACGGCTACGGCATTTCGGCCAAGGATGGCAGAGTGATCGATCGGATCGGGAGGGGGCTATTGTCTTCCTGCTGGATCTCTCGTGTCATTTTTTGGTGGTTGAGGCTTGAACAGGTGAGTCGCGACCCGGACCAGATGATCTGGAGAATATTGGACGATACGACTCTGAATGGGGACTCGTCATGCTCTATCTCTGAGCCCAAAGGTAGGTACTGATATCGTCGCCAATATTAGATTAGGTCAGATTCCCTGGCTCAGTGTGGCTCCTTTCGATTAGGTTGTGCTTCGCCTTGTCATGGTTTGCCTCGTTATCTGATTTGGCTGCAATGACACTGGCGTGCCTGCACTACTGGGGAGAGCTGAACATGACAGTCGATAGCATCATCCTCATGGGATCTGATACGGAACGGGAGGAAGGGTTTCCATTTCCATCCACGCTTCACAGTCAATCTCCCAGTGTACCGCCTTTGCCTCGTAGCCAGTGTCCAGACCCGTGTGATCACCCCACTGAAAGCCGAGCAATAGGAACCCGGAGACGAGAAACAGTGGCTTGCTAGTGGATGCAGGAGGGCTGCGACGGGCTTCATAGGTCACGTCTCGGGGGGTAAGTTTGGGGGGTTATTCTTGGGCCCTTTGGGTATCAATAACATGAGAGTAAGTGAGCCTATCGCGCGAGAGACAGCGGCCGTCGATGCCCAACCTGTTGGAGCTGCCCTCTCCGCGAGTCCGCTCTCGTCCAGTCTGAACCAGTGGATGCGGGAGGCAAGGAGCGAGAACCGCCAGGGCCGTCATGTTGTTCGCAAGGGTCCTTTGGGGTGTACCGTGTGCTCACCACTGAAAGGACTCATCTCACCTCTTGACTTTGTATCTTTCCTTCCGTTTTTGGTCATCACCATGGCTTCGCCCATCAAGGTACGAAGGTACGTCATCCTTGGCCGTTTTGCCATTTGTTAGAGCGCTAAATGAGGGTAGGAATTGTGGTGCCTGAGGAGATAGCAAGATGTGGAAGGAGTCCACTCACCTCCCCACGTTGACCGTTTACCCTCAACGACATCTCGGGCACAACGGTATCCTCCCCTCTCCCTTGTCCAACGGTCGATTTATTCCGTATCCTTCCGTTCAGGCTTCAGCCCTCCGTCCACTGCCGTCCTACGCCACCTTCTCTGCTTCTCTCGGTGCTTCCTTAGCCACTGAACAATGATTTGCCGAACGGACAATGGCCCAAGCTGCAAGCCCAACCCCCACCGTCTGCGAGCCGTGACCGCCATTCCATTTTCGCTCATCAAGTTTCCCTTCCCTCAGGTCCCTCCAATCCGTCTGCTTCTTTTTTAGGAAAAAAAAAAAAAACTTCTTTTTGTTTTCTGCCTTCTATTGGGCGGTTCCGGCTTGCGGCCGAGCCGTAAACCCCTCCACCGGGCCTTTCATTGTCGTCTCCCTCTCCCTTGACAAGACCTGCCCGCCGCTCGCCTGTCTTCCGGCAAGATCCCCGTCCACCCAGACCCGGCGCATCGAGGTCACGACCCAAAAGGCCCAGAACTCTGAATCTCTTGTCATCCTGCTCACCTCTGACCTCATTCGCCGGCCGGACGCCGTCGTTCCCCCCAGCGGTCCTACACTGACAGACGCATCCCCGGCCACACTTCCCAACTTGCCCCCCCCCCCCCCAAATGGCCCCAGTCAGTGAGCCACTGGGCCGAGAGAGCGCACAGAGAATCCAGTCGGAGCACATCGGCTGGACGTGGGGTTGGGTTTCGCTTTGGCTCTGAGCAATCGTCCACCTTTCGACTTCCATTCCGTGACCCTCTCTTCTCTGTATTGGCTAGTATCTTGCCCTTTTCTGCCCGCCCTGAGCGCGCGCGCCGCGTTCCTATCAATCCCCAGACTCTTTGCAATTCGCAAGCCCCAGGTCTTCTTCTAAACCAGTCCCTCTCGGCCTCCAGGTACATTGCCCCTAGTTTAGTACACCGAACAATACCTTAGCCCGTCTAGCCTGTTGCCTTCTCTTGAGTCTTGGGCACCGAGAGAAGGCAGTAGACACTGGCAAGCAAGTCTATCAAGTTTGATAGAGTCCGTGAGGTGAGAAGGAGAGTTCGAGGCGGTCTAAAGCCAAACGGAACCCCTGCTCAATGCTCCCTCACTCTGTCCGCGCCCCACGTCTCGTCCGTGTCTTGTTCCAAGGAAGCATTCTACGGCGCCGTCTGTCCGTCGCAATAGTAAGTGGTGCCCATCCGTTTGCCGTTCTCAGGGCTCTCTCGGTTTCGCCAGATTTGGATCAAATCATCGCCACAAGACATTATGAAAAGACACTGGCTACGGATGAACTTCCGAATAGTATTAACAAGCCAATGCGAGAAGGTTTACTATTACCGCACACAGAATTACAAGACGAATATGGGCTAGCAGGTATTCACTGTGAAGCCCCGAAAGTATCTTACCTAAAGGGAACAGGGACAAGAGGACTTATCTCGCCTTGGCATCATGATCTCGCTCTCTCTCTCCCTCTTCCCCTCGGCTCACTCTTCTATCTTGCTCGTCCTATAATCAACGAAGAGTATGGCCGCTCCCACTCGCCAGAAAACTTGCCTGGTTCTCTCTTGCTGACTGGGCCCGTTGACCACACACCCACCCCGTCCCTATCCTCGGCCACCCTCCACAAACAAGTGACCACACACCCACCAATGCGCATCGCATCCCACCCGCAACGGGCTGCTCTTTCCTACCGTAGTCCAAGGTATCCGTAGATTCTAGGTAGGTACGAGTGCTTCCTTCCTTCCTCTGCCTCTCCAGCTCCACTCTGCTGTCTCCGTCTCGTTCCCCTCCCGTCCTTGCTGTTCTCGCGCCGTCCGTACCTTACCGTACCGTACCGTGGTGACCCTCTTCCTCCGTAAGCTCCCACAGGTAGCCAGTCTGAGGTGAAATCCCGATTTCCTCAGTCTCTTGTTCTTTCCCCACTGCCCTCCCAACCCTGGACTGGGATCTCGACCCGGGCCAGCCTGACCTTCCACACTACCCGCGACCTTACATTGCCTTACTGCGACTCTCCTCCTTTCCCCCCGTCCCATGTCCACCGTATCCTTCTCGAAGCCAAGCAAAGTACCTCACCCCCGGCCACCGTTTCCAACCAGGTACCTCATCCCGGGAATCGCGCAGAAGTGCCGCCTTTGCTGTTGAAAATACAAAACCTTCCCTCTTCCTCCTCCAGCTCTACCTTGCCCGCCCACCAAGAAAACGAGATCACACACCACACACACACACACACACACCATTACTGCGTACTCACACGCACACATTCATACAGACACTATCCGCACTCGCTCGCCCATCCAGCGTCAACCGTACATACCTACATACATATACATACTTTCGCCCCATCCTTCAGACGGTTTCCCTATCGTTGCAACACACATTTGTTTATTATTGTCCCATCATCCCTCTTCCCCACGTCGTCTCACTCTCGACGCAGCCCATTTACGCCGCTTCATCGACTCGACTCACACACACATACTCAAGGCTTTTCCCCCGCCCTGTGTATCTGACCAGACCAGCTACTTTTTCGACTCGCTACAAGATCTGGAGTGCATCGCAGCGCCGTAACACTCGAACAAAAAGAATAACCGATTCCCCGAAAGCCTGTGAGTGTGTTTCTCCCCTTCAGAGCCGTTGTTCTACCTCCTCGTCCTGCACGCACTGCCCTTTAAAACTTTCCGACCACCCTCCACCCGCACATCCTCTCATCCCATCCCCACCAACCTCTCTTATCACTCATCCCGCTCGACCACCTCCGCCCTCTGCTTTTTCCCTTACTTTCTTGCCCTCAACTCAACCCGCGTACGTTTTGCTTGGCCCTCCGAACGAGTCTCGCACAAAAAGCTCGCTTCTCGCCTCTGACTGCAAGTTTCCGCTGCGCAATACATGCATCTTTGCCGCTCAATACACAGCAGCCCAAGCGCATACTCCTCCATACCCTCGTCTGCAATTCTCAGAGTGCGCAGCACCCGTCTCCACATCTCACTCACACCCAAAAATAAACCCTGGGCCACCAACCGTCCTCACCGCTGCGCTGCACTCGACTAACACGCCCTCGCAAGATTAGAAAAATAGGCACCATTGCCATCACAGCACAACATCGCAGTCCACACTCGACTGCTGATTTCACATAACCAGAAATGGTCTCAACGTACCAGATGCCGTCCTTCTACAGACCGACACCTTTGACTGTAGACACAACACAAGCGCAAAAGTACTACGAAGAGGAGGACCACAGCATCCTCGACGAAACTATCTTGGATCACAGCGCACTCGACTCGGGCCTGGAAATGTCGCCTCCCATGGTTGATAGCAGAAGAGATTCCTTCGCCGTTGGCGGCTCTCTCTTCTCACCAAAGACGGAGGACTGGCAGTCAGTCGATATGCAATCCGTGCCATCCAACAACCCTTTCATCGAGCAGCAACACAACAACAACCCCTTCATGCGCCTGGATCATGCTCAGCCTTCCCCTTTCGCCCCTCAAGGCAACGGATGGTCTTTGAGCAATACTTCTGGCTCTTGCACTCCCCTCCAGCAATTCGATGGCATGCCGGCTGAATACGACAATGGCGCTCCCATGTTCCAAAGGCCCGTCCCGGGCCAGACGCCCTTCACCAACCCCACCGGCCAAATCAATATGTTCGCACCCATCGGATCAGGCAACCAGTCCATACCAACTTCACCACAGAAGGGATGGATCGGCCAGGCGGAATCTATGGCCAAGAAGATGCGCCCTGGTAGCCCTACCATCCGCTCACACAACGACATGCGAAGGGGTGACGGCATCCGCAAGAAGAACGCTCGCTTCGATATCCCGGCCGAGCGCAATCTCAGCAACATCGATCACCTCATCGCTCAGTCCACCGATGAGCAAGAGATCAAGGAGCTCAAGCAGCAAAAGCGACTGCTGAGGAATCGCCAGGCAGCGTACGTGCACACTCACTTCCTTTCAATTCCACTTACTAACATTGCAACAGCCTTGACTCTCGCCAGAGAAAGAAGCAACACACCGAGCGGCTTGAAGATGAGAAGAAGCAATTCACCGCTGTGCTCACCGATCTGGAGGAAGAGATGGCCGACATGAGGAAACAGATGGAGCAGCTTTTGAGAGAGAAGCAGTTCAACCAGGAGTACATCGAGTCACTCACCATGGAGAAGGAGGAGATGATCCGCTCCCACACGATCGAAACCGGCGAACTCCGGAAGAAGGTCAGCGTCCTCACCGACCACGTCCAGCGTCTCGAGAGCGCCGCCATGACTGCTCCTGCCAACAACAACTATGTATCTGGCTACGACGACATGGACGGCATGACCATGCCGGGCAGCTGGGACAACGTCAACTTCCTCGGCGAGTACCCCATGGAGCAGGAAGTCAAGCAGGAACTCCAGGTGGTTCCGAACAAGAAGGCTGATGTTTCCTTCCCCGTCGATTCCGAGAAGTCTTCCTCCCAGGGTGGTATTCTCTTCATGCTCTTCCTCGTCGGTGCCTTTGTTCTGTCCAGCCGCTCTACCCCTGCCATTCCCCGGGTCTCCGAGGACGTCCGCGCTGAAGCTGCCACCCTCCTCGAGAACGTATTCAAGGATGCCGGCGTAAACGGTGCATCCAACACCCTGAACGCTCTCGCTCCTCAGCCTTCCGGCGGCTCGTGGGTCGACAACTCGGCCATGCCTATGAGTGACACCTCAATGGGCGGTGTCGCGCCTTCGATGCTCGGCCAGCTTGGCGACTCTCTCACCCAGCCTACCGATGAACAAGCAAATGAGCAACTCTTTGGACTCTCGGCTGCTCAGTACAACGGCGTCAGCTCGCAGGATTTCCTCAACAACGCCCCCGAGCGCACCACCAGCCAAGGACGCAAGAACCTTGCCGATGCCCTCTCAGCGATGCGGACCAACAAGCAATCCGCAGCCGACGTCTACACTAGATCACTACTTTGGGATCAGATCCCCAGCGAAGTCGTCAGAAACTTTGCCAAAATGGTGTCCGAAAGCAACAGCGCGAAAGCGGGCGCTAACGAATAACGAAGACCAAAAAAATTACGATCCCATGATCACATCAACGAATCTCAACTCTTAGCTCAAAATATCATTCTACCAAACATCTTTTTTTCTTTCAGCCGAAGCTCATCATACACTTCCACCGCTCCCGCGGACAAAACCCCAGACA